CGGGTCTCCGTCACTCGGCAAAATTCCCGGGATCCATCTCCCGACAGCCGTCTAGACAAGTCGATTCGGTTCCAAATACTGTAAATTCCTCTCGTAGCTCCACATCTGCCCGGCAACCCAACATTCTCCTTTTTTTCGACTGATTATGTTTTTTTAGAATAAGTATTCAGCTGATTATTCGCGAAACGAATACATTCATTCCGTGAAGCCAGGTGCAAGAAAAAGGCGTTGCGCGAGTATGATGTATTGTACGTACGTGAACAGGCCCCGGAATGGCGTAAGTTTCTCCCCGGAAAGAATCGTCGGATCCCTCGAAAGTCTCAATTTCGGGTGAGAAGCAGGACATTTTCAAAAATAAAATCGAAACTCCTTCAACAATGGCCACATGTGCATAATCATCCCAACGATGTGACGATTCCTTGAGAGGCCTTTAGCACGTTCCAATGACCGACTGGGCGCCATGAGCGATTCGTTATTCTAGAAATAAATGAGGGGAGGAGACGATATATTCCCTCGTGAGATTCTAGGCCCCACCTCCTCGTTTCTAGAAGCGTGATGGAAGATCAGAATTGCGCGAAATGGTTAGCATAGAAACCCTCCTGGCAGGTGAAGCCCAATGCAGAAGTTGTTCCCAGCCTCCTTGGGTCACTACATTCCCCATTTGTGCCCGTTGGTGAAATCAGGACTTTCGGTGATACTTTAGGGTTGCATGCGCGGTTGAAGTGCACACATCATCTCATAAACTGAATGAATGCCACATAGTTCCGAAATAGTAATAATTGTGTTTCCTGAGGTTTATATTAAACCCTTGAGAAGCAGGACGGAAGACAGGATAATTAAAATACCAATTTTCAAGGGATGCAAGTGACTGTAAGTGATTCATCAAACTAATCCCTTTAGACTCAATTTCTTTTATTTTTTCAAAGCCAAATGAAGATGAACAACAGCGGGGAACCCCCTTTCTGAGGATTTGTCAACGATAATCCCCGTAGATTGACTTTCTTTGAATAAGTTACAACAGCGTCCTTCTTACATTACATAATAAAGGAAGGAAGTTCATGAAGTTAAAGGTTTTTGTTACTTCTAGGAGGTTCCTGTTATATGCATTCAATAGCACTTGAACTCTTTATTTAAACTGCTACTTTCAGAATAAAGGATTCGACTAAATGCTGACGATATTAACTGAACAGAAGTGCTTTTCCCGCGAAGTTTCTTGAAGTTGCGAGAAACATGACCATAATTTATTTGAAATGGGAGAGATGTTTTTTTGGGCATCCTGATGAAAGGCACGCGCGAATAATAACGCACACTTTTTTGCGAAATGGAATCAGTTCTTGGTCCTACATGTTTTACAATAAAAATATAAAAGATTAATCTTTATTCCCATTTCATAGTATTCGAATGTTCCTTCATTCTAGGTAGCGGAAGCTTTTGAGCAGAAACGGAGGAGGTGTGTTAAGTTGCGACATGCGTCCTCACAACGTGTCATAAAGAGATTTATGTACCTAAGAGAAGTTTTGAGAAGTGAACTACTGGATAACATTTGCCTTAAAATTGCCCTCGCCCATCAAAAGCTCTGCAGCTGACTTATCACATGTGGACAATCGTATTTGTACTTAATTCATAAAAAAGAGGGAGGATTGCCTGTTCGCGAGCGAACGGAAAATATATACACACGCAATGATGACGACTCCAAATCACATAGCTTTTCTACCAGTGCTTTCACGCGTACCTACAATGGGCCGCAGATTTCTTGCAGATGTATAACTGGGCTCTCAATAGTATTTTATTAACTTGAAAAATAAGGGGCTTGCAGTTCGGGTGAAATTACCTGGAAATGTGACTCTTAATCATTATTAGGTGCTGATTATAAAATTAAAAAGTTTTAACATCGTAAAATAAATAATCTGTCTTCAAATAAAAAAAATAATTTGAGTCAGCGTCTAAGTTGGTACAGCACTTCGTACACAGACGGCCAATTGCCAACACTTTCATCATTTTCCAAAAAATACTTTGGGAATCGGGACAGGGTACCCCCGAATTTCACCACCAACCCTCCGACTCCAGGAGGCGACATCTAAGTTTTACTCGATAATTCTCCTGGAAAAATCTGAGGATGGAATCACCAGAAAAACGGATATCCCGCAGAAGCGACGGCAAAACTTGAACGAAAACACGTGAATTCCTTAGATGGGTCCAAAACAGGGACAAACGAATCCGTTCTAAGGTCTGTTCTTTATTTAAATCACGATATCTCGAGAGATAAAGATTAAATAAAAAAAGCAAATAATAATTGAGAAACCCGCACCGCATCCCGAGGATTCGGACGTTTGGGTAAGGCTTGAAAGCCAAATTTTCACTGCTCGTAAGAGCCCTTCCTGATAAAAATGAAAACACGTCACAACAAGTCTTACACGCAACATAAGTTACACAGAACAAACCTCTCCTGAGTGCTCCACATCGAACCGACACCATAGAAAGTCCATGTGGTCAACACAGAAAAGAACATCTATCGTTTCATGCATGGCCCCTATTATAGAAATGTCAAGAAAACGAATATTATTTAGTGTAGCCCTTTTGTTCAAGGAATATAGTAAAAGACAATCACTTATACTGTAATGTAAAAGGTTCTCAGCCGCTGCTCTACATGCAGAGTCACAGAAAGGTCAATTTTATTTGGAGACATCAGCATGGGCTCCGTGTGGTTTCTCCGGGAAAACAATAAAGACCTTGGGATTCATAGAATATTTACAAAGAAATCGGCATTGGCGAAGGAAAATGATGGCACTTGGGTATACAAAATACGGGCAAGCGCTACACCACGTCGGTTACTTGAGGAGTTCATTAATTAGCAGTTTTGCTGTGGAAAAATTAATCACAGGAGGGTTAAATAGGTCATTATCTTGGTCTTACACTGCTGTTGGATAAATGAATCGACTGATCACGGATGCTGAACTTGGATGCGAGTGCACATTTGCCCGATGGGTAACTGCTTTGAAAATCATCAAGTTGTGGTTTTATTGCAATTCTATTTCTGGGTCCTCATCAGAATAATAGCCCGAATGATCATCACAGAAACTGCAAGGTGTTTGAGGTATTCATATAGGTTAAGGATGTCAAGAGTACGTGTCAGACTCTAGATTTCTGAACATTTTTTTAAGGGAATATGCAGGCATGTGGACTGAAAAAAAAAGTTGACATGGGGACTTTTCTGACCAGGATAGGTTCAACTGTGTATGGTATATAATGGAGAGTTATCCAGCATTTCAGATTTTCCCACAATAACAATTCAGTGAAAAACGTGCCATGCTCAAAACCAGATTCACCCGCGTAGAAAAGGGTTCTCTTCGAAAAACAACTAGAATAATACAGTATACTGTATCCTCAATCTGCCTGTACAGTAGCATCACAAGGTTCCTTCGCATCCAGCAGATGTAACATAATTGCACTTCCCTTAGATCACATCATCATCTACAGTGGCTGCTGACTTAAGTCATTTGATTGCTAACTTTTTATTCTGAAAACGTATCGCTAGGCCTCATTTCCCCACAAAAATTCAGATACCATTTTTTTCAACCTATGCCATTCTTTCTGAATAACTACCGCTGAAAATTTTAGCGCGGTCAACACAGCACTTGTTGTATACGCGCAATCGCGCATACAGTACGCGAGGGAATACGTAATCGCGCATTAGAATGAAGTGCAAACTGCGCAACAAACAGTGACATTGAGAGTTGTAAGAAAGCTAAGGCTGACCCACGAGTGCGGTACTTAAATATAACTCACCTTCGAACGGATGGGCCTTGGTATGCAGGATTCCTTGAAGTGTATCGATGCGGAGGATCGTGGGTTCGGGAATCGTCGGAAACCACAGTATTGGGTGGTACGTGGGACTGCGGAAAATCCATGCCGTTTGGTCTCGAGTACCCCATGGAATCGAATATTGTGCCTTTTATAACGACTGATGTGGGAATCATCCATGGTTTCACATCATCATCGCTTGAGAACGTGCTCGTTTTGCATGGTCTGTTACTACGCGAGGTGACGAGGTCACATGGATGCCACGCGGTCGTTGTTACCACAGTATCAACATTAATCGTCGAATCCGCAGAATGCGTTACAACATGAATACCATGTTGCCCACCAATTAGAACCACATTTTGGGGAACAAATTGCGCTTCTCGCGCGGTTCCAACGTCATCCATCCGGATGGACGATGAAGACATGCTGGTATCAACCATGTTTTCATCAAGGCAATCCATTTCCTCCACTTCGATTCCTAAATCCAGTTGCGCAAATGAGACGCAAGTAGGTGTTGGAGGTCGCGTGTAGACAAGCATTTGTTGGACTTCGGCACATTGCAATGCCGTCCACTGCCTCGTGATCCGCGATACGGTGGAATGTGATTGTCCAAAAACAGAGGGGTAGATTCCCTCAGAAGTCGAGACCTGCGATGATGTATTTACGAACGTATAGAACCCCCACTTGAATAATAAAATACAGTCCCCTAAAAAAACTCGGGCCTATAGATCTTAAACTACTGCACAGTACTGTAATGTTCAAACAGCCTCTTCTTTTTGACCTGGTCGAAACAGCACTCTATACTGACTATACCTTCCTCCTCAAGACATGGATAATACCCTACACATCTGTAGGCTTTGAATCACTGGTGCCCATGAACGCTTACTTAGTATACTTAGTCTCCACCCATCGAAATGTGCATCTGGAAAGTTTGCACGTTTTGATGAATGGGCTATGAACAAATTTCCCCCCTCAGACACCGCTGCTGAAAATCTTGTTGTGGTCTGTATGCCGCAAGAATGCAGAACAGGATTCAGAACCAGACTCATAAAGGTAAAAAACAAACCTTATTCAACTTCTGGATCCACCTTTGGACAACTTGAAGTTATCGTCAATCCTAGGCATGTAAGCATTTTTTATTGATCAGTGTTCCACGCAGAAGTGCGATTAACAATCATTAAAAATGTTACATCTTGAAGGATGAACTAAACCAGTTCGCCGAAGGTCATTCATGTTAGCAGGGTACTCACTTGGCTGTATCCCATGTAGATGAACTAAAAAAAAGGCGATTAAAATGTCTAAGATGGATTTCACGGATTTTCCACGACCCTCTGAAAAACAAACGAAAATGTATTGCACGCAACAAATATTTCCTAAAGTTTAAATCCAAGCGTTTCAACGAGAAATATGTTCTCAGTATACTGATGAAAATCTAACCCCATTGACTCCAGTATAGTATTGTCGCATAATCCACGTACTGTAATTCATACGGATATTACAAGCGACGTACTGTATACAGATGCATTGAAAAGGGTTTAAAAACCACGGTTCAAACACACCCTTGATTTCATGCAATGTCGTTTCCATGAGAAACTCGAGTTGATATGTCATTTGCAGAGCAAGAAAACTCCGAATTGGAGATTGATCGCTTAATTTTTCTATTCCAGGATTATGTAACTAGAGCTCTAATGTTTACAGTCCACTCGAGCTTCACTCTGAAATTTTTCAAGACTTGTAGACAACGGTTCGCTTTTCACTTAAATCTTCTCTGAAAAGTCATCAAGGATGCATCGGATAGCTTCCGCCATAACTACGGCAAGCCACATACGGAATGAGAATAAGTTAAAAATTCCCCCTCATCGCCTGATGAGCTGAAGTGATCAGGCAGGGAGCATCGGCTGAGAACCTTGTCAAATGGGTAATGTAGTCCAACTGTTTATCTCAACTGAAGTATAAAGGAAGCCGAAGCAAAATCGAGACAAAACAAGGGTTCCAAAAAACAGAACCCCAGTTGTCCTGACTGAAAACCTGCTGAATTAAACAATTTAAATGATTAAAAATATCTTACGACAGGATAAAGATAGATACTGTTCATTTAACCCTGTGGGACAACCGCTCGTAACTCGGAACACATGGCTTTTCCGGATTTCAACAATGCATTTTCCTTAAAATTAATCTCAAGCAGCAAATTTTCAACATATGTATCAAATTAAAAAGGATTGTGATGAGCCCATGGACTTGAGGCGTCAAGATCCAGTCCGGTTCAAAGTTCAGGGATCAGTTAGTCCGTCAAAGTGACGAGCAAATCTAAAAATGGAATGCAAACCCAATTGTACGAGAAAACGCTTTTCACTTCCATAGGACCATAGCACTATAAAAAAATAAAAGCGACCGATTTTCAAATTCCGTTTCACAGACAATGAATCCTCACTTATCATGGCACGAAAAAAAATTTAGTTCTGCGAATGATCCTTCAGTTGAACATAACTTGAACGGTGAACTCGTTCTTCACATTCAGATTTTTCAAAACAGAAGTACCTCCACAGTCTCATTTCTGAGACTTATTTAACTCCGTGATCAAACTTCACTCGATAAAAGCAAATTCGGGTCATAAATTCAACCGGCGACTCGTACTCGGCAAACAAAATTGGGGTACTTAACAGCTTCATACAGCGTTCATTCAAACTGGAAACATAAATCTCAATCCTTCTTCAACGGCCGAGAATTATTCACTAGATCGTGAAGATAACAAAACATGTACCATACCGGTTTTCGAAAAGAAAGGTTTTAAAAAATCTTTCATTTCGACCATAACTATTGAGCTCACGATGTGCTTCCGTTCGAGCTCATTCATCTTCGGCTTCTTTTTTTTCCTTTCTCGCGGTATTCCAGATGACTGAACGCTGTTCCGATTCTCCAACGAAATCAGATTCGAGCAGATTCTCCATCCAACGAAAAATCTCAGGTTTCAGGGCAGTCACTACAGTCCACGACAGTCTTCAAGAACATCTTCTTCAGGAAACTTTCATATTTCCGTTCCAGTCCTGCAACATTTGAAAAATATATCAAGATACAAAAAGCAGATTGACAAGCACCGATGATCTCGAGACCAGAGTGTTCTTGAAGATTATCTACCTTTGTTAAACCTGGTCGAAGCATCACGGAAACCACAACACGCTGCAACTCGCAGATCTCCGTGCAAATCGGAATGAAAATCCTGCCTTTGTGTCAAACAATGTAGGTTACGCCATCCACACGATCGTTCCAGCAACACGCGGGAGTTGAGTACATCCGAGATGCCTTTCTGTCTTTGGCTCTAAAGAATGCGAGAATCGCAAACGTCACAGGACACGCAAACGACTGCAGGAATGGAGGAACAGGTTAGTTGTAAGGCTCACACCTCCCCAAGTGTCTGAATGATAACAGCTAACTTATATCAATTTCGCTCGAGCTATTTAGCGTCGCATCAGCCCAGTAACTCAGCGACCTTCGGAATTGCGCCAACTGTAGAATTATGTCCATGGCGCGTCGCCATATTAGATTGTAGTGTAGCGCCTTTTTCGGCGAACGAGAGCTTTTTCGCTCGAACTGCTTGCTAATGATAAGCTGAATGGAGTTTTTATAATTCCTTCCGACAGCTAAACTAGGTTCTGGAAGTGCTGTAGATCTGTAGTCTACAAACTACTGTACTGCATTCCAATATAAGATGCATCACTAGGAAAATCGTTCGATCTTATGGAATGTGGCACTCATGACAAAGCTGCCGTGATCTCATTATTACCAGCACAATTAGTTTCCACAAATTTTCCGAAAATACCAGGCAATTTTACCAGCTGAGAGAAATGCTTCATAAATTTTCAGTAGTAGACTTGAAAAAATACGGAGGTATCATTCTATGCCACTGCAACAATGCCTGTCGATGCCCGATTTTCCCGTTTTGCAAAGAAAATTATTAACGAGCAGATCGACATCTATGGACGTTCGCGAATATTAAACCAGTCCCAGGGGCTGCCACACCTCATACTGTACACAGTACAGTAATTAAAATATTGTACAACATGAAGAATCCAGTGAAAGGCCGAGACATTCGATCAAAAACACTAGATTGAAGACAAGGCAGCATGTGCCATTGAGTCATTAACCAACTTAATTAGACGTCTCAATGTCAGCAATAACTCATCTGACAATTTTATATGGAGTATCAGAATAATCGGAAAGCATGGAGCAGAGCATGCGCAGCTTGCGATGACGTCAGAAAATTTAATACTTTCGATGTACAGTATTGTACTGTATATGCTGGTTTTGTGTGTTGGACATAAGAAACCTAATTTATTGTACCATGTACTGTATACTGTACCGCATTTGTGTTATCTGTTATGATATTTTAAGTGTAAGCGGAGCGACGAATATTGCAGGAAGGTGAGATCGCAAACTACAATAATTCAGAGTGGTACACTTCGTCTTCGCAGAGAAATACGGAAACTAAATATTTTACCTGCATATTAAGATACATCATTTTCACGTTTGATATCATCAGTTCATCACGGGCAGAAACTTGAAACTCTCTGCATCACGAAGAAGTCACGCGGAGTTCAACAGAAAGCCAACAGTATGCTGTATATTGCTTCCGAGTTCTCAGCGAAATTGTTGATGTATTTGTATGCACCCGTGAGCCTCGCCTCAAGAGTCACCCATCACCGTGAGGAGCTTGCTTTGGCATTTCATTTAGTCCGCCCTGTGTTATTCGTGCATTGTCGCTTATGCTCGTGCAAGCAGTTAATTACTACGAAACATGTTCGCAGTTAGCGGATGTCAGAATCTGAGGAAGCGACAGACGTGAGTAGCATCGCATTGGTTCCCCGTGTCGGCTTTCAAAAATGCTCGGGACGTTGTCACACGTAATTTACTTATTGTATTGACATAGCTCACACAGTTCACATGTTGCGTCTTCAATTCTTTCTCAGAGTTCTCACCTAGAAGAAGAAATGGAAGGTTTCGACTGATGCGGTATCAAAGCTTCACGTTGAATACGTTTTTTTCTAACTCTCGTATGCATACGAGTATCCTCCATACTAACTTCGCATCACAGAAAGTAAAAAAATTTAGTAGATTAAAAAATTAATCTAAAAAATCACGTTTTGAAAAAGGAAAAAAATAACCTTAAATGTGGTGCGCATCTATTTCATTTCAACAGCCGCCTTCACAGCCGCCAATCGGGATAGGAATGTGGCATCTGTGAAGGCGGCTGTTGATCAAAAACCGTGCAGTCTTGATTTTGACAGGCTTCAATAATAGGCAGACATTATGAAAATGGCGGAATTGCCTTGGAAGACCTGGAGGGAACCCTTGGAATTAATGCCACATTGATTTCAAGAATTCTGAGGGGAAAGCTGAGCTACAACAACAGAATCTGCAGGAAAGGCGCCAATCATCTTTTGAGTGAAAGTCTTTTGAGAAAATCTCCTGCAAAATCTTTTGAGAAAGTCTTTTGAGTGGAGAGCAGAACACCCGCCAGGGTGACTTTCGCAAAACATTCAAAAAGATGTGTCAAACAGGGCTGATTTTTTTCTTGTACCAAAGAATATGCATTCCCTAAAGAAAATTTGCTTTTCAGCTCAATTATATGCCATTTGAATTTATATTCCGAGGACTCCTGTTAGACCCCTTGTATATTAATTCACAATTATTTTTATCAGACAAAGTTTACTAAATCCATAAATGAAATAATTTTTGTACTCATTGTGTTGAGACAGCTGATGATTTTAACACGTTTTTATTAACTCACTTTCTTGTCTAATCGGTCTAGTTTTATCGGGATAAATTTTCATTTATGGTACAGTGGTGGCCCAGTTAACATAAAAGTAGCCTGAATGCTGGTTTTGTTTTATTTTTACACCACAGCGACCATCCAATTTTTGTGTAGGACACCCAGCCTTGCTTTGGATAAAGCTGTGAGGAAACGGATAAGCTCTAAGGAACAAATAAGTTATGTAGAGAAATCTGGCCACCAGCAAAATTTTTTCAATTGGATTAAGAAAATGTTTCCATGTACAGTACAGTAATGTATGCTTAATATCATTGGAAGTGGAATTCCGCACTTTTGGTATTCTTTCTGCTTCATAAAATGAAACAACAAAGGGCATTCCATAAAGCATTCGTCAGTGCATTTCTAACCTTAAAACATGGTTCGTCCTGGGGTCTCGGAAGTTTGAAAATGATTGATCTTTGTTCGAAACTTACGCATGACCTTGGAAGCTTGATTACATTGTCATTTGTAAATGCTTCCTTCTCTGAAGCAGAAAATGTGAGCAAATTCCTTTAGAAAAAAAGAAGGCAACAATTTTACCAAC